CTTGGGTTGTTACCAACATCTGGTGAAAATTTCATGTCATTAGCACCTCTAGTAATATATTTACTGAGAAAAATGGTGACGTGTTCAATACTTATTTTACCCAATGTATGTCTAAAACATGGGTCTCCAACCAGTAGCTCGTGAGCTACCTGTAGCTCCTGGGCTCATTTAAAGGAGCTCTTCAGAGCTTATGAAAAATTAGGAGAAGCAAAATTTAATTTGTCACTGGCCAAACAAACTTTCATTTAATTCCAATCAATCAATAGATGTACCTTCCCCTTGGTTGTCAGTTTAGGGTTCAGTATGGTYGATTGGCAGACGACGCACATTTACGTGGCTGGCATTTGTTTTCGCACACACTTTTCATAGACCCTTGAGACAAACTGTGCCAAACTCCTGGGAAAACCCTCCTGCTGCAGTATATGTCACTACCCAACGTTGTTTGTGCACAAATCTGTTGCAGTTAAACCCTAAGTTATTAGTGTAAAATACAATATAATAAGAATGGATAATCACAAAAAGCACAATTATGTAAATTTGGTGTTCTTTGTAATAGTTTTGTGTGAATTGAAGACAAAGTTTTTGTGCAAAACATGCTTATTCCAACGGTTTAAGTTTAAAATTAAATGTTGCAAAAATTAGCTCTCGGACAGTTTCATTTTGTGAAAGTAGCTGTTAAGAAGGAGTAAAAGGTTGGAGACCCCTGGTCAAAAAATTTCTTTTATTTATTTATTTTTTCAGAAATCCAGGATGGCCACCATAGCTAAAATGCAAAATTTACCATAACTATTGTTCTGATGCGCTTGAAGAAATTTAAAGTTATTAGAGGTTAGTACTGATTTTAAAAGCACAACACTATATTCTTAGGTTTTCCTTTTTTGTAATGTTGACAGTGTTTAATCTATTATGTTTTGATTGATAGTAGATTAGTTACATGTTCGAAATATCTGTGACAACACATAATTAAACGTTGCGATGACATTAGCTGAGGATTTTGTCTGAATGCCTGTGATTCAGCCGTAGGTCAGTAGGGGGCGAACACAGGCATTGAAGAACCTGTATAAATAGATGAACTTCCTGGTTTTTCGCCAGTGTTGGTTTCCTGTCAGCTTGAGTGACAATAAACCTCACTCAGATCCAGAGTTCTGGTGTTGTATGGTTTTGATTCCTTCTACAAATCATTTTATTTAACAATGATGTTTTTAATATCAACTTCAGTTTATTGAATACAAATTTTCTTACACACTCTTAACCTGAAGTGTGAACTCGTATAATTACAAGGAACTCTTTTACCACAATCAGTGAATCAATGAAGAGGAAACTAAACATGTCTTGTTTTGGATTTGACAAGTTTACTTTTATTTATTAGCACCTCAAGTGAGAAAATGATTTTATCAATGTTTGCATCAGCTTAAAAATATTTTATAACCAGAGCTGATTCTGTTTGTCATCAACTCGCAGGAAGACGGGCGCGTCTTATGAGGCTACCTGTTCACCAAGGGTCAGCTGAGGTCGACAGGTGGTCACAGTGAAGGTGGCAGAGCTGAAACAGGTCTTAACTCTTCTGCTGATGAGGAGGATTGTGATCATTCAACAACCCTCAGCTCTGACTTCTTTTCAAGCTGTGAAGGTGTGTCTTCAAAAATCCCTCTTCTTAAATTTACTTTCTCTTTTCTAATAGGCTTTAGAGCAATTAATATTATTATTAATTTACTTTTGCAAGTCCATTCATCAACCTTTTATTGCAGAGAAGCAGAGCTTGCCCACCCTACAGGTGCTTCAGTCCTACCATCGCTCATGAACGAGGCGCCCAGAAGTTTCAGCTCCTTCACACGAGGCAAGGACTCAACTGGAGCTGGAAGTAACTGGAAGGAGGTCCATTTTTTTCAGGTGACAGTTTATAAAACTTTCTATGGGAAGAATGAATGTTGATCAGATTTCTGTCGTTGTGTGAGATGTGTGTCTTGTGTGCTATTACTGAATGTCGTGTGTGTTTTATGTTGGCATGTAAGTTGAACCTGAATGTCATATTAGAGCTTTTGTCTCATTTGATGGAATTAGGATTCTGGCCGGTCTCTGTGCCTCTGCTTCTCTCTGYCAGTCTCTCCACACTGCCCACTACCCACTACTGAACTATGCCAAAAAGTCACAGAGCCCCACCACCACCTCTGACCCTTCCACACAACAAAACAGACAATCCTGTTTGTGTTCAAGACGATCCAAAGACTTTTGTGTGATAACTGTGTTTTGGGGTTAGAAATGACTGGGAGGATTAAAAATTGAATTACTGGGGTTGGGATGTTAGAAAAGTACATATACTTAGGTTTATGTTGACATGTTTTTTTTTAAATACATTTAATAATTATTCCGTTTTCCATTTCTAGT